CTTCTTTTTTATCATGGGTTGCACTGACGTGGCATCTCCTCCGCCTGCTATTTTTCTTCTCTTATGTAGGAGTAGAAGTGGGAGGACGATTGGGTTCGTGCCAACCAGCAGCCGGCCAGCAGCCAACACCTGTGCAACTGCCACATGAGCGTCTGCCACATCAGCTGTTGCCTGGTCAGCAGTGTGCTATATAACTAGATGCCACAGCAACATTTGCCGCATCACTGACTGCCTTACAAACAACAGTTAGGTCAGCAGGTGCCCGGTCTGCGGCTGCCACCTCAGCGGCTACAGCAGCCAGGTCAGCATGTGCCCGGTCTGCGGCTGCCATATCAGCAGCTATAGCTGTAGTGGAACCATGGCCAACGGCTACAGTGCCAGTGGTCTGCTTTTTTTTTTTTTTTTTTTTTCCTCGAACCGGGTGGAGGTGGTAATTGCAGCAGTGACGATTGCTGCAACTACTCAGCCTGGGCTGGGGCTGGGGTGGATAGGGGGTTACTGCACGTTCTGGGTGGGAAGGGGTCGGTGGAGTGGGGACAAGGTTTTTATAGGACTTTGTGTCTGCTGCAATGGGAAGGGTTCGGGGGGGGGAGGGGGCATGACGTGACCCTTTGTCTGCTGCACCAACCGAGGGTTCAAAGGGGTTGTGGGGGGATGGTGGTTGTTGCTTCCCACAACCCTTCTTCTCTCCCCCCCCCTCGCCAGAGTGATGGGCAACCCCCCCCCAAATCCCCACAAACCCATATAAAAAAAAATAAAAATAAAAAATCGTTCGCGTTTAACTAACTCCTTAAATTTGTAGAAATTTTGGCAGTGCTTCCCGCAGAGAAAGTAACTTTCCAAAATTTATACAAAGCTAAGTTTAGAACCAAAATTTATACAAAGCTAAGTTTTAAATAATTTTGACTTTTCCAAGTCAAATTTTGTTTAACTTTTTGAATCAGCAAAAAATTGGGCACCACTTCCTTTAAAAAAAATGTTTTTCATATTTTTACTAAGCCAGGTATAAAACTCGGATAAAATGTTGAATTTTGAAAGTCAGATTTGATTAACTCTTTGGATTTGTAGAAATTTCGGCAGCGCTTCGCGTAGAGAAAGTAGCTTATAAAGATTCACAAAGCCAAGTATAACAAATGATCCCAGAAAATGTGAGAATTGACCTAAGTAAAAAAAAGTTAGCTCATAAAGTGCAGAAACTGAACTAACTTCCATAGCTCTAGCACGTGGC